CATTTTTCCGAAATGTTAAAATCTTCTCTGATAATTTTTTTAGCGGACGAAAAACCGCGAGGGACATAAAAAGCGGAGAAAATTCGATACTTCGACTGCGAAGGGTGTCGTGCAGGAAAATCTAAAAAACCGCTAAGGACGATCGAAGGTTCATTTCGCTCCTTCGGCAATGGCCACACCCTTCACACTGCCCTTTCCCTACATGTCGGTGTGGGCAGAGAGAACCAATTCTGAGGTGCTGGTTCTAAACTGGGAAAGTCAGAATCAATGAACAGCTCGGACGTAAAATTATAAGCAGGAACGTTATATGTACGGTAATTTTGAAAAACATCACACACTAATCCTGATTAGCATAACATAAATACAATATTTGCGGTAACTAATATTGAAAATAGACTATGTCATTTCTTAACTTAACTTGAACTCGAGAACTTTAATTTCGTCGTCGACATTTCCCTTGCGGTGCAACGGAAGATCTCATGATGATGTTGTCAGTGGGGCACAAGGGTCAAACAGCAAACGACAAGGTGACAATTGAAATCACGAACCCAGGAACACCTCAAAGACTACGTCATTCTGCCGTGTTAATAGTGCCACTGGATAACAGCTGTTCCAGTGCCGGTTTGAAGCTCCTGGAAGACTACAGAAGCCGCAGAGTTTAAGTGAATGGTGGGGGGGGCTTATTTTGTTCTTCTCATTCCCTCAGGAACATCGCATATCAGAGCAAGTGCAGTATTCCTGTTTGCATCTATTAGCAAATATTTTCCCATGACATCACACAGAAACAGCGAAACGTGCGGAGCTATTACAAAACAAACAAACCAAACTATGCTTTACGAAAATGGCGGACGCGTTGCGCTGGTTACCTTCGAATGACAGGTCAGTACACTGGGTCCCTTCGGGTCATGATGTAGCGTACAGAGAAATGAAGAAAACGAATCGATCGTCTTCGAAACTCATCCGTTCGAGAGTAAAAGAGTAGAATATCGAAATACTCACTTGTCAAGACGCAGAACTGATTGGGTATTAAAGGGTCCGCCTGGTGGTATAGTTGACTGTAAATTATGGATCGATAGAAAAAGATGAGCAGGTTAAAATAACATTTGTTATAAGAAATCGCGCGGCGTTTCAAAAGTAGGTGTTGAGAACGGTCGAGACATGTCAATGTGAAGAAACAAGGTTAATTAATATTTGCAACAATAAATATCATTTAATGGTTAGAAAAATGACGACATAAGCGTGTATTTACATGAAATAAATTATGAAATTCCGCAGTTTTTATTGTTTTCGCTGTCGTCTCAGGTTGTAAAATTTGAACATTGGAGTCTCTTAGATATTTCAGTGTTCTAACCATTGCAAATACTAACCGAAATTAGTACAACATAGCGTTCATTGCTGCAGCAAAGATAATAATCCTCTTCGCAAGCAGGTCTGCCTGAAGAGAATATTTCATTTTTTTTGAAGGCGTCTGCGCTCTGTCGATGATCCCCTGATTTCTCAAGTGTTGATCATGCAGCTGACAAATGCCATTTTATGACGTCATCCATTAATCAGGGTAATAATTCATAATTTCGTGTTCACTTTGATATGAATACTAATTTTACTTTCAGTGTGTTGATAAGGTTAGTGATAGGATGAATGGATTCCATTACGCCGCTTATCGATAGTACGAACTCTTATTTCTTGTTTTTCATTTTAAGGTTATAGACAGCTCAGTCCACCTTGCATACCATTGGTTCCTTCTTGACTGTTGACTCGGTTCATGATATATGTTCAAGCTAATTATAACAGCCCAGGTGTGTACGTCTATTCTGAGGTTATTTTCGTTCGTTAATCTTTGCTCCTTCTCTGAAAGATACATCGAAATAAAATTTATGAGCATTAGCTTGCATCCAGGTTTTGCAAAATTATTTGTACAAAATAATGATCAATGTAATAAATCACCATCAATCTCGAACTATGCAATAAAACAAACAGTAAGAAGAATTTGGGCATAACTGGATCTGAACCTGTCTGCGCAACTAACTTATTTTTCGAAACCACAGTTCAATTCTTAAGCCTTGAAATCACATTTACACAGCTGTCGCCGACATTGAAAAACTTGTTTCAAACTTTCAAGATTGATAGCAAGTGACTTGAACTGTTGGATAAATTGCAATCCCATATGTATGCGAAGCAACTCTTTGATTGCACTGACATTTAAGTCAAGGTACAATTATAAAATATATTTGGGAGAGTCTTCAAAGTAATCTGAAGATGAACCGTACTTGATCCGAAACGTCGGATGGTCTTAATTAAAGAATATTTAGGGTTCTCTTCCTGTTTGTTACTTACCAAAGCATCCAATTATATCCCGCATGAAGGAATCATGTTTCTCACTCTTATAACACATTGAAATATCGGATATAAGATTGGACA